CATTTTTTAAAATTTTTTTCCAAATTATTTTTTTTTCTATACCTCCAAGTGTCCCCTTTCAAACAAACGAAAGATCATTCCTGTATCTATCTTAGCGTTCGAGATATTACAAAAACAAAATTGAAAAACTGGAAAAATCGCGAAATTTTGAGTTTGCACATCTTTTGAAAAAAATTTTTTTATTTTTTTTCCTTTGGCAGAACTCCGTTATATGATAAAAGAAAACTTCTGACCAAAATTCGTCCAAATCGAAAGGGGTCGATTCCAACTATTGGTCGATTTGACATGGAATGACCCCTCTTTATTTTTTTTTATTTTTACATTTTCTATTATTATTTGATTTTAACATATTCTTGTTATTTCGTATTTTCATTTTGGGTTTTTCCCTTTTCTTTTCAAACCCGACGGTCATAAATAAAAATAATCTAAAAGTACTCTTCAGGTCACTTAAATTTAATATTTAAAGTGCCCATCGAATTTTGTGAAAGAGTTAATGAGGCGCAACAGTAAATCCTGTAATGTAATTTTAATGATACTGTAGACGAGTCTTTTCAATAACATCAAGCCATATACAAAAAGAGATTAAAGAAACGAAATAACAAAGTAGTTAAATCTTTCTTAGATAATAAGTTTAGGTTAAAGTCGAAATAAATAAATTAATATTTTATAAGCAACAATAAAATTTATGTTAAAAAAATAAATCAAAATAGGTTCATAGATAACAATTAATATTTTTAACAAGTTAAATAATAAATTAAAAGTAGTATTTTATTAATAAATAGCAACTAATTTATAGAAATAATTAAAAATATTAAACGCTAAAATTATAAAATTATATCATTAGAAAAAATGTTTTTTGTGAGGAATAAGTAAAATGATTATTATTATTGTACTTGAACACGTGTAAGCGCGAATACACGTGTAGTCTAGTCAACATGTGCCTTTCAGGTCAAATTTTTTATTCACCTTGGAAAATTATGATTGAGGTGTCATTCGATTCGTTATCGCATCTAGAAACTTTTTGAAAAATTTGGAGAGGCGCTTGCAAAAATTACAAAAGTTATAAACAATTTAGTAAAGAAAAAGGGGGTTTGGTTTTATGTGAATATCTCTAAAAGTATTTAAAATTTTTTAAATTTGAAAAAAGATCCAAAAAGAGGAAGAATTTTCCTAAAATGAGTCCCACCACCCGAAACTCTCGGACCAATATTAATAATTTTTTTTTTTGTTGTTAACAATTTACTTAAGTTAAAAATTATCAACCTCGATTAAACATTGAAAAAAATATTTTTTTTATAATATTGCTATTGGTCCGTTTTCTTAAAATCATAAGCTTATTAAAAATTTTTATTCCATATTGTTTAAAAAATTGTTATAAACAAATGTGTTGTTTATAAGATAATCTGAAAATTTTTTTTGTTAACATTATCTTTGATGGAAATTATGATTTAAAAAAAAAAAGCCGTTTCTTAAAAAAAATTTTTTATTGCTTAAAAACGCATTTGTTAATTAACAGATTTTTTTTACCACTTGTTATAAAAATTAAGGAACCATTTTTTTTTTAATCATTATTTATCTTGTTCTTCGATGCCTGAAAAAAAATTTTTTATTTTTTTCAAATTTTAATTGTTTATGTTATAAAAAATTTGTTACAAAAAAAATTGAATTTTTTATTTATATTTTTTTTCTTTGCTTTAAAAAATATTAAAAACAGCCCAGTATCAGTTTTTGGACAAAAATTGATTTTTCGATTTTTTATTTAATTTTAAGTATTCTCGTATATTCAATCTTATACTTTTCGTGCCTGCTTTTCTTTATTTATTATTAATATTACTTATAAACTGTTGCAGATACAACAAATTAATCTAAACTTTTTTGTTTTTCTAAATTAACTACTCAACAAATTTATATAACCAAAGCAGAACCCTAACTCAATTATTTATATAATTTTTTTGCAATTATTTTTAAAAATTGAAGGAAAAAAATTTTTTTTTGCTTTTAAAATCAAAATATCTCATCATTTATAACAGATGCGACAAAAGTTACTTGTATATTTTTCATTCTGCATTATAGTTAATGAACAAATTGAGCTCCTATCTGAGACTGTAATCTTAAAATTTGTAAAGCAATTAGCAGCTATTATTAAGAATGTTTTGAGCAAAATTTTTCGGGATTTTTTTTTTCGCATTTAAAATATAAATTTATTCATAAATGTAATTTTTTTTTTTTTAGAATCACTTAAATTTACTAACTCCAAATTTTTCAAAAAGTTTCTAGATGCGATGACGAATTGAGTGATACCTCGATCATAATTTTCCGAGGCGAATAAAAAATTTGGACCTAAAAGGCACATGTTGACTAGACTAGTGGTCGAGAGAATATTTTAAAATTTCCGAACGCATGTAAAAATAGAAGGGTGGTTAGGCCCGCGTTAACATAGAGAGGATAGTTCCCCCCAACTGTTTTCTTGAGAGAAAGGGAGCCGTTACCCCGAAAAACTGGGTCCTAATTGGACGGAGTTTTCCCCAACAATTTTCAGGGCGGTTCCACCCTACATTCTATAAAATAGTTGTTTCGGCATGAACTCGCTCTCTCGTGTGTAACAAGTCTCAGTGATCGTCTCAGTAATTTCAAATCAATTTTTGTTCAATTAACAAGTTTTAGTAACCATCACATACAATTCAAATCAATTTTTTTTATAGTCAATTTCAATTCCAATTATTAACAAGTGTAATAAATAGTATATTACATACCTAGGCCAGTAAAATAAGAAAAGTCTCAGACCACATGTAATTGTTGGCCGAGGCGAAGCCGAGGTTGACAAACATGTGGTCTGAGGCTTTACTTTTTACTGGCCAAGGTGTGTATACTATTTTTCTGCTCGACGTAGCCGGAACGTGGCAACTTTGTTTAGCGCAGCGGCCAGAAAGTTGCCACTTTCCGGCCGGAGGGCAGAAAACAACTAAGTTTTAATTTAATAAATTTAATAATCAAGATAAATATCAAATTGTGAAATTCTAATTATCCACTGAAACAATAATTAAGGTAACAATTTATATTATAGTTGTAATTTTTATGTGTTTAATATTTTGTGAATGTAACTTCACGTGAAAATTAACCTAATTCAAATATCCAATTTATTTCAATTTCAAACTACCCTTAAATAGAGTAATCTTGTGATACCAGTCTATTGGTTATTAACCAGGGCCGAAAGTAGATAATTGTGTTAAAAAATAGTGCGGGCCGGAAGTGTTTCCTCGTTCTTAATTTGGCAAAGCCCCGACTGTTTTTTTAATTAAAAACTTTGACTGAAAAAAAGACAAAAATTCGCATAATTAAAGATATTTGGATAACCTGGTATAACTTTGGATAAAATGGATGAAACGAAGGATATCGTCGGTAATTTTTCAACCTTAAAGTGTCCCTTAAAATCTCTGAAAAATTCGAACTTTTTCTCGCGCTGCGATTTTTTTTTCTCATTGCCCCGAAGCTTTAAATTCTTTGCTTTCGGAAAAATCACCGTTATGAGCAGTTTTTCGATTTTTGTTCATTTCTTCAGTGAAAATAATTTTTTTCTCAAAAATCTTTTTTTTCCGATCGCAGAGATTAACTTTTTAAGAAATTTGAAAAAATAAAAAAATTTCAATTTTTCTTGAAAATTTTCTCGATTTTCTTCGACTGCTGCCTTACCGAAGGCATTAGCGTTACCCAAAGCGTACCACGTAGAGGTGGCTCGGTCGGGTTTACGCTTCTTACACACACTTGTGCAGAAACGCACATGCACGAACACACACACATTCACTCACACGCGCGCACACACGCACACCTACAAGTGTTTGCAAAAAGCGTTAGTCCAACCGAGCAACCCCACGTGGTACGCTTTGGGTAACACTAATGCCTTCGGTAAGGCAGCAGTAAAAAAAAAATCGAGAAAATTTTGGATAAAATCGAGAAAATTTTGAAAAAAATCAAAAAAATTTTCAGAAAGAATTAAATTTTTTTTCTTTAATTTCTTAAAAAGTTAATCCCTGTGATAAAGTTTTAACATATATATTTTTATAAATAATTATTATTGTCATTATTGATATTTGCTAGAATATGCTGTATGATAGATAAATATTGATCCCAAAATTAGTTATTGATAAATAAGCAATTATTAATTTCAGTTGTGGATATTGATAATTTCAGAAATACTGAAAGAAGCATATCTCCTGAAGAAGTCGCTAAGGAAACTATGGCTAAGGGCAAAGTAACTGTTGTGCTTGGAGCACAATGGGGTGATGAAGGAAAAGGAAAAGTTGTTGACATGCTTGCTGCTGACGCTGATATAGTATGCCGGTGTCAGGTAATTTTATTTATAACATTATTTATTTTATTATCATTTATATAAATTAATTTAATATTTATTTACATAATTGATTATTATTATTATTATTATTATTATTATTATTATTATTATTATTATTATTGATAGTGTTGTTATTTTGTATGACGAAATGCAGAACAATTTTAAAGTTGTATTTAATAGCTTATTTCAAAATTTTTTATAATATTAATAGATTTTATATTTATGTCAGCTATTGTGAATTTTTTTGTAGTATTTTAGGTTTACTTATCGTGCAAGATTATTTTTTTCACAATTTTACTTTATCATATATTTTAATGTCTGATAAAATTTTTATGTTCAAGTCTGACTAAAGTCTAAATGTATTTAATTTATATAAACGACAATTGTTAATTTTTTTTTATCGATAATAATAGCAAATATTATTTCAGGGTGGAAATAATGCAGGTCACACAGTAGTTGTGAACGGTGAACAATTCTTTTTCCATCTACTACCTAGTGGGATTATCAATCCCAAATGCAAATCCATTTTAGGTAAGAATTCGTTTTATTTTTAGGTCAATTAACTAATTTTTATTATCACATAATCTTAAACGTATTTGCATGAAATAAGTTACAATTACTCGTTTTCATTACTGAGATATGTGATACTCAATACTTATTTATTTATTTATGTATATTTTTTTTTTTTAATTAAAATTATCACACAAATTAAACTTTCCGTTTTTGATAATTTAATAAATTCTGAATAACTTTATTTCAAATTGTAAAAATTTATCTAACAATTAGAGTAATTAATTATTATATGACCTTCATCGTTCAGAATTTATATGATGTTAACGTCCTTGCTTATTACTAGATTTAATAATGTCATGTTTAATGTCAATTAACTAAATTGCTGACCATCGTAAAATGATGATGAAATAGTTTCTCTTCTATCAATATATTTGATCGATTAAACAATAAAAAAACAAAGTCAGCAAAAGTTAAACCGACTAAGATTTTGTTTATTAGACTCATCAGAACAACTATCGAACATCTATTGTTAATAGTTCTTAAAATAAAAGTTTTGAACTGTATGTAGGTAATGGTGTGGTGATTCATATACCCGGCTTGTTCAAAGAATTGGAGCAAAATGAAGCTAAAGGTCTGAAAGACTGGAAAAATCGACTTATTATATCTGATCGTGCCCATATTGTCTTCGATTTTCATCAACAAGTTGATGGTATGCAAGAATTAGAAAAAGGATCGCAGTCATTGGGAACTACCAAAAAAGGAATTGGTCCAACTTATTCCAACAAAACTACCAGAAACGGTCTACGAATTGGTGACTTGATGGGCGACTTTGACAAGTTTTCCGAGAAATTCAATACTCTTGTTGAAACGTATCGAAGAATGTTCCCATTCTTGCATGTCGATATAAAATCAGAATTGGAGCGCTATAAAGGGTATTTTCAATTACATTAATTATATATATCTGCTTTAAAAAAAAAAAAAAAAACAATTTTGCCATAATTTATTGACTTTTTATCCACGTGATAAATTATAATTCTCACACAGAAAAAAAAGTTCAATTGAGTCAAGAAAATATTTTTCTTCCTATTTATTACCTTCAGTGGAAAAAAAATTTGTTTTTGACCCAAGAAATTTCACTTATTTCAACAAAATTAATTCTCTTGCTTTAAGAAATACATATCATGATCCAAGAAAATTTATTTAAGTCAAGAAAATCTTCTTGTTTTGAGAAAATTTCTCTCTTGCTCCAAAAAATTAAATATCTCGATAGAAGTAAATTTTCATTAATATTTTTAATGATCAACATATGTCAAATGGGAAGATCAAATAATTCAAGAGAAAAATTTTCTCAAGATGAGAAAATTTTTTTCTCAGCTGAAGCAGGTGGCACTGCTTCCCTAAAGTATCTAAAAATCTTGATCAAATATAAAAATTGATTGTATCAAGTATTTAAGATAATTTGAATTAAAAAAAAATTACTTCCACCAAGAATGGAATTTAAAAAAAAATTTTTACTTCGGCTAACACAACTCCGGTCTTCCTTCAGGCACTCAAAAATTTTCTTGAGCCAAGAATTTTGTTCTTCAGTCAAGAAATTTTTCTTTCTGTGTATTTAATTTGAATAGCTATTAAATTGCGACTTTATAACTTAATTGATTCAGTAATTTTATAAATATTTGTGTGTTTTAATTTCAGATATGCTGAACGAATAAGGCCGCTTGTGAAAGAAACGGTTCACTATTTACATACTGCGCTAAAAAATGATGAAAATGTTTTGGTTGAAGGAGCTAACGCGGCAATGTTAGACATTGACTTTGGCACCTATCCCTACGTAACAAGCTCTAATTGTAGTATTGGTGGTGTTTGTACGGGTCTTGGTTTACCACCATCAACTATTGACCAAGTGATTGGTGTTATTAAGGCCTACACCACAAGAGTTGGTGATGGTCCTTTCCCAACAGAATTAACAGATTCTACGGGAGAATTATTACAATCGCGTGGTCATGAAGTAGGTGTAACAACAAAACGCAAAAGACGTTGCGGTTGGCTCGATTTGGCACAGTTGAAGTTCACCAACATGGTCAATGGGTTAGTATATTAATAATTTTGTAAAAATAATATGATGATAACTTAAATTCTTAAGGGGCCATGAAAGAAGATTTAATAACATTTTTATGAGATAATTTTTGGTGCATTGTTTTGAGCTAAATTTTGGACAGATTTTCATGGCTCCTTAACTTTAATAAATATTTGTTATTTCTCAATTACTAAATTTTTTTTTGTTCAGGTACACATGTGTCTGCTTGACAAAACTAGATATTCTGGACACATTGCCAGAGTTGAAAGTATGTGTTGGCTATCGATGCGACGGAAAAGAAATCGATTATTTTCCGAGTACTGCTTCTGAATTGGCCAAAGTTGAGCCTATTTACGTAACACTTGAAGGTTGGAACTCAAAAACTGAAAGTGTACGTTCAATAGATCAATTACCGGTCAATGCACGGAAATATGTTGAATTAATTGAACAGAAATTAAACGTTCGAGGTAACGATGGAATTTATTTATTTTACAAAAAAAAAATCTAAATAATTATAATCTTTAAATTGTATTTAATTATTTTGATAATATCAATAATGTCTAAATTTATTTTATTTTCAGTCGGGTGGGTTGGTGTTGGTGCAGGTCGTGAAAGTGTTATCCCTTGCGGTCTTGCAACCACCAGTATTTAGGTAATGGTGTTGTGATTCATATGACCGGCTTGTTTGATGAATTGGAGCAAACTTTGATAAGTTTGCCGAAAAATTCAATACTCTTGCAACGTATCGAAGAATGTTCCCATCGTTGCGCGTCGCTGTAAAATCTGAATTGAAGTGCTATGAACGGTATTTTTAATCGCATTAATTATACTCCTGCTTTTTTTTTGGGACCTCAGAGCTAGCAGTATGAATATTGTTCTATAACTAATTGTTCATGATTACATTTAAATAAATTATTTAAATTAAATTAGCAAAAACTGTAAATAATATTTGTAAATAAAAAATTAATGTTTTTAATAATTTTAAAAAATATTTATATCAAATTAGTATTATTGAAAATCTTAATAATTATAAATTAATAATAATAATAAACGGAAAATTTATAAAATAATTGATAATAAAATGAGGATAAAAAATAATCATACACTGTTTTTAATTCTACATAGGGTATCTCTATATGTATAAATAAGCAAATTTACTTCATCTACTTACTATTTCTCCATACTATTCTGTCTGGCGAAGACAAAAAAAGAAAATTGGAGCTTCTTTCTTGAAATTATTAATTATTTACAACTAAGGATAATTTTGATTCTTAGAACTCCTCTTGTTCTCCAAACGTCATTCATATATCAGCACTTAACGTTTCCAATTACATCGACGGATTTCTAGACGAGCCCTCGACTGACAAAACTGTGAGAAATATGCAAAAAGTCACTGTCTTGACAGAAGTGCCAATTCGGAAATGTCGAAGAACAATAGATATTACAGTTGATGAAAGCAAACGAGTGAAACACACAACCCGCTTGAGAAAGCGTCCAAGAAAATATTAAATTTTAAGTATTCAAAATTACACTGATAAAAAATTAATGACTTAAGAGTAAGAATCTTGAACCAAAAATTTAATTTTCTTCAAAATCGTGTACTTGGTTAACGATTCTTGCTCTTGATTTAAGTTAAATTTTTAATCAGCATACAAATGTAATTACCGTTAGTTTGCTATTAATGTCGTCGTAATTCTTTCTGACAATAGTGTAAATATTATTAATTTTTCGCTTATTGACGTTCTGGGTGTCAAAATATTTCATTGCTATTTTTTTTGCTTGTGCACGGTTAAAATTATCAAAATCGATGGAATTGAAATTATGATCGATGGTTTTTGCGATTTTTGCTGAAGTTTTTTCAGTTCGACTTTGGATGTCGAGAGAGGTCTTTTGCGACTGAAAGTCGTCTGCAATTTTTTCTCTGTCACGCCGGAGAAATTATAACTGAAAATTATTTTTTAGAAATTGTACTTATATTTTTTCAATTTTTTTACAAATGAAATTTTTTTTTTTGTAATGTTTTCATTAAAAAAAAATTCTAAAAATTTTTAGATGTTTGATCATGCCAAGATATATAAAAATGAATTATCATTAATGATTACCCACTTCACTACACTTTGATAATTAACTGTACTCAATACGAGATATATAAATTCTTATATTTATTATAAAATTAATTATCATTGAGCATATTTTATTCAAATTAAAAAACTAAATATGTGTTAACAAATTAATAGATACTTAAAATAAAAATATTCATCGGTTCAATTGGAGATTATTGACGATACTGGAATTAGCAGACGTTTAAAAATTGTTTGATGTTTCTTATTAAATAAATTATAACTAAAAAAATATTTTTAATAAATTGCACTTATAGTTTTTTGAATCTTCCAGATGTGAAATTTTATTTTTTATTTTTTTTTTGTAGTAATTTTTTTAATGAAAAGAAATCGTAAAAATTTTCAGATGTCTACTGATTTCATTTTCATGATTATTGATTGATCTTACTATTTGGGTAAATAATCGTCTCATTATCTGGACAATCATTAGCAATGATAACTTCCTGACCTCTTGTAGTAGGTTCGAAGTCTTTGTTGAACCATATCAATACATCTAACAAGTAGTATTCGTATGTTTTCTGTAGAAAAAAAGAAAATCAGAGTTATCAAATTGAAGAAATAATAATCATTGCTGATAAAGTATACCCTAGTAGCAATTTGGTTCAAGTCTTGGACAAGTCTGGCTCAAGAATCGTAATGAAGTTATCTGTATACAAATTTTTACAATTAATGGACAAGAAACTTACGGCAGATTATTCTTCAAAAATCATCGAAGAATCGCTCCAGATATTTGACCAAGATTCTTGGGCAAGACTGGGGTCAGAATTGGTCCAGAAAATGGCCAGAAATGGGGGAGCTCCCTATCACCACTTTGTGAGACTCAGTTGTGAAGACAGATAATAAGTTCTCATTCTTATTTCAGCACAATAAGAATACGCACTATGTTAATCTTTTACGTTTCTCGCGCAAGTCTGAGTGAAACTTTTTTACCAAAAATCTGAACAAATTCTGATTAAGGTAAAGTACCCAGTAGTTGAACAGGTTTCAAAGTAAAACGTATTTGACCCTACTTTTAATATATAAAAATGTAATGATTAGTTCAAATTAGTGATTTTCATGAAAATATAAACAATTTTGAATTGATTGAAGCACAAAATAACGCGGATAATTGAATATTTATATTTTGACAACGTTTTTAAAATAGACTATGAAAGGAGTACAAGTTGAACAATCAATTCTGACAGGCCGCAGTGGGGTCATCTGAGTGATCCGAACGGAAATGTAGCCAATGTAATTATTGTCAAGGAATTCAAAAAGTAACTTGCTCTCTAACAAGTTATATACATTTAATACTTCATACATAACACTTAATATATGTCAAATAATAGTAAATTCTATATAATAAAATACACACATTAAAACATTTAAATATCATATTTATGAAAAAAATTAAACTGTAACCCATGAAACATTACAAAAGAACGACAATTGATCTGTCTTCTAAGTCTTCTAAGTCATAAGTAAGAAATTAGTTGTCAGTAAGGTAAATTTTTTTAGGTAACTGGCGGTGAAGGAAATTTAAATTATATAATCTAAATTCAAACACAACCTTTTTATTCTAAATAAGAATAATTCTTCTTGAAAATATTTATTGTTTTTATTTATTAAAATATACAAATATTGATTACTAAAATAAAACAAAAAATCGCTTATTTAATGGGAAATTATTTATTATTCTTTATAAAGTAATTTTTTGTTAATTATATAAAATATTAAAATCAAACTGTTTTTTATTTGTTTCAACTTAAACTATTATTTATTTATACACTTTCTCAAAATTTATCAATATTTTCGTTCTTGTCATATGAATATTATAAAACAAACAATAATTTTTTATATATATGTAATTAGAATAACATAAAAAGAAAAAATTATTTATTTAAATATAATTCGTTTAAACTTACATTAAAGTTAAAAAAATATAGGAATATCAGAAATAATTAGTAAGTTCAAAAATATTAAAAAATTAAAAAAAAAAAAGATGTTTTTGTTCCTTTAATATCGATAAATTTTGAGAAAGTGTATAAATAAATAATAATTTAAGTTGAAACAAATAAAAAACAGTTTGATTTTAATATTTTATAGAATTAAAAAAAAAAAAAAAAAAAAATTACTTTATAAACAAAAATAAATAATTTCCCATTAAATAAGCGATTTTTTGTTTTATTTTAGTAATCAATATTTAAATATTTTAATAAATAAAAACAATAAATATTTTCAAGAAGAATTATTCTTATTCAGAATATAAAGGTTGTGTTTGAATTTAGATTATACAATTTAAATTTCCTCCACCGCCAGTTACCTAAAAAAATTTACCTTACCGACAACTAATTTCTTACTTATGACTTAGAAAACTTAGAAGACAGATCAATTGTCGTTCTTTTGTAATGTTACAGTTCATGGGTTACAGTTTAATTTTTTTCACAAATATGATATTTAAATGTTTTAATGTGTGTATTTTATCATATAGAATTTACTATTATTTGACATACATTAAGTGTTATGGATGAAGTATTAAATGTATATAACTTGTTAAAGAGCAAGTTACTTTTTGAATTCCTTGACAATAATTACATTGGCTACATTTCCGTTCGGATCACTCAGATATGACCCCTACATCATGCGCCTGGAATGCCACTGAGTTACTTACAGTCAATATAACAACTTTCTAACTGATTTAAAGCCAATGTAAATCAGCCATATGTGTTAATCATTTATATAAAAAAAAAAAAACGTGCTCAAAGTGTCCTGTCGTCTGGTATGTTTATATTTGTTCATTTGAATATTGTTAAATAAAAAATGGCTAACGTATCACATAAAAGTAAAAAAAAAGGAGAAAATTCAAATAATCAAAGAAGAAAATTTAAAACAGCTACTAGGAAAAAAACAATCCCTCAAAGCAAAAAAGTTGAAATATTGAAGTCTAAGTATAAAGAGGTTATTATTTTTTTTTGATAATCAGAGTTGTGATTTTAAAAAATGAAAAAAAATTTTACTACACGTAATCGACACGTTCGATTAATTTATTCATAATTTTTTATTTTATTATTACAATCACAACTGTATTAATGTTGTTGCAAAACATTAACCCATTTTTATATAATTTTAGATCGATGAATCAAAAATAAAAAAATTTTCCGATTTCCCAATATCTGACAAAACATTGAAAGGATTGAAAGAATCTAAATATTTTGTCCCATCAGAGATTCAGAGACAATGTATCGGTAAAGCACTTCAAGGGTACGACATTTTAGGGGCAGCAAAAACTGGCAGTGGAAAAACACTTGCTTTTTTAATTCCGGTATTTATTTATTGTTACTATAATATTATTGTACTATAATTTAATGAACGTATACATTTTCAGGTGCTAGAATTATTGTATTGTGAGTTATGGTCAAGGGAAGATCGTCTAGGAGCAATGATAATAACTCCCACACGGGAATTAGCTCTACAAATTTTTGAGACCTTAAGAAATATAGGAAGACATCATGATTTTTCTGCTGCTTTAATTATAGGAGGTAAAGATTGGAAATTTGTGTTCAAGTACTGGGTACTTTAACTTACAGATTTGTCACTAAACTTGACCAAGTATTGCTCCAGATTTTGTTTCAAAATCTTGCCCGAGTCTATCGCCAGCCGGGACAAATAATCTTGGTTAACTCTGTGGCTCAAAAATTGTCCGATTTTATTTCTAGAGCTTGGTTAACTATCTGACCAGAGAATCTTGTTCAAAACCAATGTTACTAGGGCAATAGAAAAAAAAAAAAAAAAAAAAAAAAGAACTTACGCGGTGACGTTGACAAGCAATTACAGCCTTTTTATCTCCTAAAACATAACTTACGGCATCGACAATTGTCTGCTTAGTATAGTTATGACCAGGAATAATATTTGCTTCGCTCAGAATTCGAGCCATGTTGAATTTTCCAGACAATTCAAGTCCTTTATTGAAATATTTCAGTTGAGAATTTGTTTGATCATTACTCACACCACAAACTCCTGAATTTTCCCATTGATCTTTCCAAAAATCAGTTAAATTTTGTGCTGCGTCAAAACTGAACCACCTACATTCTAGCTCAGCTCTAATTTGAGAAATTTCGTCAAATTTGAACGGAGTCGAGTGATTACACTCTGAATAGTAATTCCCCGAAGGAAGACGAGGGACGAATTGAAGAATTGACCATCGGTCCACGTAGGTTGACTGACAGGTTTTTTTAGGATCTAGGCGCTCGAATAGATAGCACCAGGTATGTGGCCATGCTTGAGAAAGTGTGAATTCACCAGCGTAGCCGTGAGTTCTGAAAGAAAAAATTATTTATCAATTTAAAAAAAAAGTATTAAAACTCTGGTCTCACAAATTTAATTCGGTAAAAATTAATTCAATTTTTTTTACAAAATTTACGGGAATAATTTTCATCTTTCACTTTTATTTAAAAATAGATAAAAATTAAAATTTTAATGTAATAAATTTTGAAAAATTCTCAAACAATTTAACGATTCAGAAAAATAAGTAAAAATATAAATAAATTTTTTCAATCAAAAATTCTGATATAATTATTAATCTTTCTAGGATATAATAGAAAAATTGTAAAATTACTTACGAATCCTGCTTTATCCTTTCTATTTCACTTGCAGTTTCAGGTAAAATTAAATAAATAATTTGTATAAGTAACAATTGAATACAATATTTCTTCATTATTTTAACTAAATAGAATTACTTTTTTTGAGTGTAATTTGTACCAGTTGTCACTGTCAAGCCTAATCTACACTCCGACTACAAGCTTAGTAATGGTCGCTTTGTGTATCAATCTTCTGAAACATCTGTTAACTCAGAGATATTATTTCTTTTCTTACTCAACGGAATTTTCATGCCCGGTCATATTTTTTTTAATCTTTCAAATGCCTACTATACGTACTTAATATTTCTAGTGGAAATTATTAAGAGTAACTTACGTTTTATTTTTCTTAGATAAATTTTAGTGTCTCTAATACACACATAATAAATATGAACTGTTTATAAATAAATGAAAATTTTATAAAATAATTCTATCTAACGAAGCGCGAAGCGACTTTCCAGAAAATTTGTTCATGAACAATTCATGCCTTAATTTAATTATATGAAGGTATTTAAAATTTTGATCATATTATGATGAAGAAATAATAGTTTGATTTTAATATCAATTCGTATAATTACATATGATGGTGATTACAAATAATCATCTATATTTAGATTTAATTAGAATTTATAGAATTTACAATCTAATCACAAAAAATTTCTTTTAAAAAATGAGCAATGTTGTAAAAAGAAATTAACTTGTTTAAAATTTTGAACAATTTTATTCCTTAATTGAAGAAATAAAAATCTTTCTCACAGTAACTTTCTCGTTGAAAAAAAGTTTTCTAAATTTGGGAAAAAAATTTTAGGCAGACAATTTTGATTCAAATTGTTTTTTTCCAATTATAGAAAAATTTTATTCAAGAAGAAAGTTACTGCGAAAAAAATTTTTATTTCTTCAGCTAAAAAAATAAAATTGTTTTAAATTTCCAACAAATTAATTTCTTATTACAACTTTGCTAATTTTTTTTCAAGAAAATTTTTTCTCTTAGTGAAGACGTGAATATACCCATAAACTAGCAGGATCAAATTAATATGGTTCATTTCAATAGAAAATATTTTTTTTAACTCTTTCAACCTTGCCGATCGTTTAAAATTCCCTTGAAAATCGTCTCAATTTAAATAAATTTTAAGTTTTCAATGTTATCGTTTAGAAAAAATAATCACAAAATTATTAAATAATAATAATAATAATAATAATAATAATAATAAATCATAACAGGTAAAATTTTTTTTTAATCGAAAGAATATATGAGCTCGTAATAATCATTACCGTAACTCCTGTTCTTTTGCGCTTCACAACATTATTTACTTTTGAATTGTATATACGTACAGAATAATGGAAGACAATTACAATTATTGGAAAAATTTCAAATCTCATAATAGTAAATGTTTTTCAATCAATATTTTTTATCAGGGATATTATCTGATTTTATATAATTAAGTATAAGGATAAGGATTGGTAGTTTAAATAAATCTTTCTGTTATTACAAAAACAAGTTAGAATCAATTTTTTTTTTACAGTAAAAAGTTCATATGGTATACAGTAATTTTTTTTACATTTTAATTTTCAATTGATTATTATTTTATAATAGATTATATTTATTATTAGATTATATTTATTTATTTATGCAATTCTGCATCAAGTATATACCTTGTTTATTGATCACAATAAGTAAGAATAAATGATTACAAAAATTAACTGAACAGCACAAAAAAGATTAATAAGATTAGATCATAAAAATGATAATAATGCAAGAGAAATATTATTATTTATCTTATATAACCATGTGTTTGAAAAGAATAATAATTTCAATACTAATAATATTTATAATTATAAAAATAACAATACTTAAAAAAAGATCAAAAATGATAACATATAACACACACTATCCAGCCGCTACTGTGCGACTAATCATATGATCATTAATTACGATACTAATTTTTAGCGACACTTTTAAGTTTACATACATTCAAAATATTTTCTTCTGAGTTAATAAAAATTTATTCCATAAAGTAAGTTCTTGAACGAGCGAATTCAATTTTTGCAATAATTGCACGGAGAAAATTTTATATTATCTAGTTATGTTAAAATCTATTAACTGAATTCGATAGTAATAAATATTATTTAAATAATTAAGTAAACCATCTGAATTGTAGTATTTACCATCCTGATGGTAACTACTACTATTATGATGGTAATCAGTAATAATAACTGTTATTATTTTAATTAGTTACTACTATTATCAAAATCGTAATTCCTAATATAATCTGATGGTTACAGTTACCATCAGTTATAATAATAACTACTATCTAAGCTAGTAAAAAATATTAAAAAAATTAAGAATCTGCGTTACTGTGGATGCATTTCTGAATAAACTAAAAGCAGCTGTAGTGCAGTGTAGTGCACAAAAAATCGGGATTAAATTCGGATAGAATTTATATTTAAATTTTTATTTGTCTAAAACAAGTTTCAACGCTAAATTTTTCTAAAAAAATTTGAAACTTCCAAACAAATCAAAATATTTTAATATTTGAAAGAAAAAAATGTACATTAGCTAAAATATGGGTGTAAATAAAGGATTTAGTTAAGTAAACTTATATTAATTTTTCTTTCAGAATTTTTACGATCTGAGATGGTTACAGTTACCATCTTCGATTGTAACAGTTATAATCTATAATAATTACAATTATTATTTTTGATAGTAATCGTTGCCATTATTAATAGTAACTATTACAATTGTCAATGATATCACATATTATTTTGTTACTAATTAATTTTATTACCATTTTAGATAGTAGGAGTTACTATTTTTATATAGTAGGTAGTATAATTAATTTTTCTCCATTTGGAAAAACTTCGATTAAATTATTTTGTTTGTAATATGCCTCTTCTCATAAATGATCGTTCGCGACTACAAGACCTATCATGACCACGGGATCTACCGCGGCTTCGAGATCTATCATGACCACATGATCTATCGCGGCTTCGCGATCTATCGTGACCTCGCAATTTTCTTCTATGACCTCCAGATCGTAAATGACATTTGAAATGAGCTCCATTACATCTTTTTGTTGATCTTTTCATTATTTTTGATCGTATTCCACCAGCCTTCCTTCTAATTAAATCCAGATTGATGTTATCTATACAATCTGAATCAATTTCTGATGACGATGATAAAGTAACAAATGATGGGCTTGCATAATTAGGTCCAAAAGATTTTCCTGGACCGGAATATTTTGATTGCTCTTTTATCTGATCCATTGACTTCATGAGGTCAATCATTATGATTAATTTTTCCACTAATGAATCCGGTATCTGATCAGGATCACTGTTCTTCTCCAGATCTCTTTGAAAGTCCGCAACCGTTATATTTTCTTTTGATGCCAAGTATATTATGAATCCAGCTGAAAAAGTGAAAGAAAATAGATTAATTTTTTTTTATGAAATTTCAATTTTAAACAAATTTTGTGGAAATAGATGTAACATATTTTGCAAAAATTAAACCTTATAGATAGATTCATTGATTTAAAAGTCTGGTTTTGATTGAACCTTTTTGCAATTTACAAATTCAATGATAAAATTTTTGATATCAAAAACTGATTAACTCTCATAAAAATTATTCAAACTCTTTCTGAAATTAATATACTATTTCAATTATAAAAATGTTAGATCTATTTTCATTTTATTCGAAGGAGTCGGTACTATTAATTTTTTTTAATTAAAAACTTACCCAAATCTTCGTCATCCAGTCTCAAGTAATCTTTAAGTTCCGAGCAAATTTTTGAAATGAGTTTAATAAATGAATTTAATAAATTTTTGTATTATTTACAAAATATTTGACTAATTGAGTAAAACGTTTTATTAACGTTGTATTTCCTTGGAAGTCTCGATATATTGGTATCATACTATGTGTGTTATGATGACAAAAAAGATTCAACCATGGTCTATACGCTGAACCCTTACACGCAATATGCTCCACCACCGTGGAATCAAGTTAAATTTACAAATGCCAATAGCAGTAGTAAAACAAAGCCGACATTATACAGTTTGCAGTATCCAAAAGGTAATCTTCAAGTTTAATAATATCATTTACGATGCAATTGTATATGGGGCATTCTATGCCAAATCGACCACTTTTGACCCCGACCCTTTTCGTTTTTTTCTGAAATTTTGGTATCTTTCTCTACCCTATTGAAAACAGTTTTTAGAATTCATTTTAATTTTTTTACCCAACCAAATAAACGTTACGAGTTATTTAAAAAAGATAGCTTTTTTTTTTTGTTGAATAACTGTAACTTTTTTGAAAATTAACTTATTGGGATGTTTTTTTTTTTTAATTTTTGTATTCAAATGTACTTTTTAGAAAAAGAATAAGAATAATAATTCGGATTCATATTCAACGTTTTTTTTTAAATTTTGTAAAAAATCGAAAATTTTGGGATGATTGACATTTTTGATTTTCGATTTTTTTTTTTATAAAAATCTTCAGTATTTTCTGCGAATTTCCTGAAATTTTCAGAGTGGTATTTTTTTCTTTCTATTTCTTAACTTTCCGCTAAGATTATTGAAAATTTTTAAAAATCGGAAAGCTATTTGGCTTTACCCCGTTTTTCGAAAATCGAGTTTTCATCAGATCTCGACGTTTCGAGGTCCTAGGAAGCTTCCCTCTGACTATACCCGCGATGGTGTGTGTGTGTAAAAACTATTTTTTCGAAATTACTCCGAAATTTTTCGTTCTATCAATTTAAACTTGAAGATTCTTTATGAAGCTTAAGAAACTGCGCCGAATGCCACCAACAGCGTGAAAATCGGTTCATTCATTCAAAAGTTATTGCGATTTGAAAATTCAAAAAATAGTGTTTTATCAAACTTCTATCAAACTTTTGAGCTTGAAGAGCCCAAAAGCTTACAAAAGCTATTTATTTGATAGCTCGGAGAGCTCAAAATAATACACAAATTGTATTTATGAGCTCGAAGAGCTCAAAAACGTCATAAGTGCAATTTCAAGCGTTTAGGTATAGAATTGGCGGGAAGTTATAGGGATGACCTTCAGGGTCAACCGTTTTTTTAATTTTTT